AGGAGTCCTTCTGCTGAGAGGCAGCGGCATCTTCCTCTTCACGTCCTGCGGTCATATCGCGTTGCATTAACAAACGCACAAGCGCTCAGCAATCGAAGCAAGAAAATGTGTTGCAGGCAAATTGCATAAATGCGCCCTTTTCTCTGGCGTGCGTTCTGCTGTATATCACTCGACATCAACAGGGCGCTGACTGTCGTCTTCTTTCTGAGCGGCCCGTCCAGCCACGGCCTTCTTCCACATAAGCAACTTGGTTTGGGCACTCTCAATCGTGAGCTCACCTGAGTTCAGGCCGTCGGCCAAGGTCTGGAGCTTCACCGACGCGTCAGGAATGAACTTGTCCAAAATCTTTCAGGGGTGGACACGTGAGAGCTCAAGTTGATCAAACTCGCAAAAAAACAACGTGGCAACACCTGTTGACATTTGATTGCAAGCGCAACGGCAAACAAACATTCCCACCCGCACCTGGCCAATCTGTCTCTTGGCCTTCACCTCGTGCAAGGACCAAACGGTGTGGTCCTTTTTCTTCGCCTTCTTGGTCACGAACGCCTGGTCGGCAGCCTTCCGCTTCTCAGCAGTGGCCGCCGCAGCAACTTTCCTCTTCTCGTCAACAAGTTGGTGCTGCCCTGAGCTGAAGACAAAACGCTCTCACCCGGCCCGTTTCTGGGTGAATTAGGTCGAAATCTTACTTCAAAGGTCGATCTGACATTAACTTAGGTTGTGGCACTGATGTGCCTCAACACGGCAACTTCTGGTAACCCTATCGATAAGGGCTTCAGGCGGCAACTCCTTCGTATTTAAGCGGTTGGACCCCCCCAATGGACGTGGTGTGTCAAGTGAATCAAAACAAGTCACTGGCAGGGTGGGCGGGCTCCGGCGGCTGCTTGTCCAGGTGTTTGTGGATTTCCTCCATGTACTCCGGCTCTTTGTGCAAGGCCTTGCTTGGCACACGACTGGCGCGAGTCTTCCGCACGAACAACAAACCCCAAACTCTGTGTCAGCCAAGACTCAACTTGCTGGGTCACATCCGGATGCAGGCGCGGGTGGCTAGAAGGCGACCCCGGTTCATCCTCCTCAGCAAAAACACGAACACAATCCATCAACCTTTCAGGAAACACAAGCTCTCCTCGTCTGGGATCAGAATGTGCTTGTCACCCAACGACCCCAGGACCTGTCAAGAGCATAATGTCTTCAACTGAAAAAACAAGGCAGCGCAGTGAGATAACTGGCCTCCTTCCTCTTAGCTTCGATCTGCTGATCAATGGTAAGGCACTCGCGTTTGATCTCCTGCCACAAGCTGACGCCAAGGGTTCATTCTAAGGATATAAACGAGCCTTTGCAAACAAATCAACCGCCGCCGGCCTTCTCTGGCAGCTTCTCCGGCACGCCCAAACTCCAATCACGCGCCAACTCCTGCAGGGTCACAGCACCGTGTGTTAACAGAGTCAACCGCCGCCGGCCTTCTCTAGCAGCTTCTCCGGCACGTCCAATTTCCAATCACGCGCCAACTCCTGCAGGGTCACAGCACCGTGTGTTAACAGAGTCAACCGCCGCCGGCCTTCTCTGGCACCTTCTCCGGCACGTCCAAATTCCAATCACGCGCCAACTCCTGCAAGGTCACAGCACCGAGCTTAAAATCATGCCCCAACACATTAATAAATGTGTTTGGATGGGATGCACCAAGTCAAAGGGGCTAGGGATTTCCATAAATTCACCGGATTTTCAAAATTCCCTGGGTCGAACTGGGGATTTCCAGAAATTCACCGGAATTTCAAAATTCCCCGGGTTGAACCGGGGATTTCGGGTCGAACAGGGGACTTCCAGAATTTCAAAATTCCCGGGTCGAACAGCTGCCGGCCTTCTCGGGTGCATCGCTCACCAACTCCTGCGTTAAAGCAGCACGTGCGTGGGTGGGACACAAAGTCAACTTTTCAACAGCTACCGGCCTGATTATTCTCCAGCACATCGCGCGCCAAAGCCTGCAGGGTCAAACGCTCTGTGTGTTTGGACGGGACAGCTGCCAGCCTGCTTCACCGACGCACCACACTCCAATGCCTGCAAAACCGCAAAGCGACATCTGCTAGGATAGAACGCAAGTTCGAAGTCAACAACTGCTGGCCTTCTCACGCGCATCACTCACCAACTCCTGCAAAAAGCAGTCGCCCCTAGAAGCGATCCCAAAAGAGCGCTGCTCAAAATGCGTTTTCAAAAGAGGATCCCAGCAAAAATCTTCCAGAGTGACCCCCGCAAAACGTGGGCTCCTCTCAAAAGGGTTTTCACACCATCTTGAGCTAGTTGCACCTTTCAAGACCAAAAACAGAGGACGTGCGATTGGACGTTTGTTAAACAAATTTGATTGACACCAACAATTATTCAAGGGAATATAAGAATAGATCTCAGGATCATGCCGATGATGATGATGATGATGATGATGGATAATGATGATGATGATGATGATGATGATGATGATGATGATGAGGATGATGATGATGATGATGATGAGGAGGACCCCCTTATTAGACATGTTCGTTCTGACGTACTTGAGGGCTGTGCCAACTATGTGCGTGGCTGGGAGTACAAAGAGTCAACAGCTACCGGCCTCATTATTCTCCAGCACATTGCGCGCCAACTCCTGCAGGGTCAAAGGCTATGTGGGTTTGGATGGAACAGCTGCCAGCCTGTGAATTCTCCGGCACGTCACACTCCACTGCCTGCAGGGCCGCAAACCAAGAGAGGTCAAGTGACATCTGCTAGGATAGAACGCGAGTTCGAAGTCAACAACTGCTGGCCTTCTCAGGCACATCATGCGCCAACTCATCCTGCAAGGCCAAAGCAGCACGTGTTTGGGTGGGACGAAAAAGTCAGCAGCGCCAGCCTTCTCAGGCACGTCCAGTTTCCAATCCCGTGCCAACTCCTGCACAAGAGGCAAAGGAAAGCAGTCACAAGCCCCCCCCCCGGCTGTACGTTTACCAAAACATGGACTCGCCCAAGCATCATCAAATTCGCCAACATGCCACTTGCAAGATTTTGCTCCATGACGGATCCTCCATCCCATCTTCATCCAAACCCTCGCCATCGCACTCATCCGGAGCATCGGTCAGGCAACGGACCATGTCCAGGATCTCCGGGAAACGATCTGAGGGCGCAAGTTGCGTACGTGCAATCAAGCTGCTTCTGTCTGGTCACCAGCTCTGGTCAGTCAAGGCGCGAGCACTGCTTGGCCACGGGTCAGAGGAATTCCTTTGCAAGTATTTCCAGCCGCGGCAGACTTTCCTCAAGGCTTGCTGCAGCACTTTGCAATCCCAGGCCAACGAGTCCGCCCGGTGGATGTGCTTGTTGAAGATCAATCTCATCAACTCATCTAGCCTTGATGCATCTTCATAGCTGAGCAGCAACAGAGAATGACCCACACTCAACAATCAAGCACGTGACTTCAATTAGCCGAGCTACGACTGATGGCGGATTATCTGGGCCGGAGAGGCAACACACAGCGGCTTCAAAATCCAAGCGTGCCGCTTCAAGAGCTCCCGCGAAGGAAACTTCTTCTCGTTCGCCAACTTGGTCGCTACCTTGTCAAAAATGGACCCAGCAAAGGCCGGGTTTCTTTGAAGCTCCTCTGAGATCTCAGGCGGGATCACAATGCTGGCACTCAGCGTGGCAATCTCCTCCGCAGACAGCACCTTTTCAACGGCACCAGCAGGTCGGCCCATCGCAAGTGATCAGAGCGAAGGCTTGATCTTGTGAATCTTGTGTCTACACGCATGTCTGCGCGCCTTTGCAAACGTTGCGCTGACGAGCTGTCACATGCGCTGCACACTCTTGAGACCAAGCATGGAACTCAAAGCAAGCTCACCTGCGATATGTCAATCAACGTGTCAAGTCTTGTCCTATGCAAAAGAATGGGGTCTGCCAAGAAAGGAATGTTGGCAAATGCGTCAAATGTGTTGTCAAATGGTTGAGCCAAACCAAAATGCACCGATGTTGGCAAATGAATGGAACCAAAGACTGAATCCCAAACACGCAAAGCAACTCAGGGACTCGAGTCACAGAAGTGGCGTGCAAGTGCCGTGGCATTTCAGCTATAGGTCATTAACCGATCACCTAGGCAGTAATGGTGCCGCACAGGAATGGCTTAAGGCCATTTGAGTTTTAATGATCGATGAAATGCAATTGGATCGGCACTGCGCATCCTGCATAACCCTAGCTCTGGAATTCTTGAGCCACACCCAAATGATTGCCCCTCCAGTCCTTCCAAGGCCAGCGCGCGTTTGCGCCCCATTCGTTTATCCTGAGCACCAAGCCATAGCTCATGTGAAGCACATCCAACTTCTCTTGCAAACGTTGAGTTTCAAGCAAGCTGTGAGCTTAGGCACCGACGTGTGCCTGTTCTGCAAAGTCGGCCCCAGCGTAGCCTACCACCATCAGCTGCACGTGGGGCAACAGCAAACAGACAATGACAATCAAAGGCGTACAACTTGCTGAGTCACTCCTCTGAGAGCCCCACAGACATTGACCAAGCGTCTGACCTGGGCGCGCGAGATGTCAACTGCCCGCTCAAGTTACAAGTTGGACGCGACGTGTGGTCAAGGAGTCAAGCAATGAAAAACGTCTAGCTGCGAGCAACTATTTTTCTCCAGCATCAAAACTTTCTATTAGCAGCTTTTCTTCAGCTGCGCGAGCGAGCGCCTCAATGTGGTTCAGCACAACTGCAAAACACAGCACTTTGGGCGAGCGCGTGCATGGGCCAACCATATTTTGGCTGGCTGCTGGAAAACATGCCAAGGGTGCCAGATCCAGAATCAAAATCCGAAGTCAAAGGATGTAGGTTTTTCTTTCGCGAAGGGTTCCTCACGAATATGAATCTTGGCGGGTCAACGTTTTGCACCATCTTGCATCTTCGATGCTGCCCTAAGCATCAATTGGACCTTCCAGTATGGTAGGGGCCTGGATTTCCATCGGAAGGTTCTGGGCTCTGGACCCCAAAGCGTAGGCTGCAAATGGCCCTAAATCCGTCGCCTTTTCGGCTCCGGTTTTGCAAGCCGCTCAGGTGAGGGTTCCTCGCACACCACCCACTCGTACGGCTCCGGTTCTGCGACCCGCTTAGGCGAGGGTTCCTCGCACACCACCCACTCGTACGGCTCCGGTTCTGCGACCCGCTTAGGCAAGGGTTCCTCGCACACCACCCACTCATACTCGCTGCTGGAGGACTCGCTGAACTCATCATTGGACACGTCGAAGCCCCCTATAGCACACACGTTTAGCCCAAACAACTCACTCAACAAACGCTAACCAGACGCCCAAAAAAATGTTTCACGGCCGCCAAGAAACACTCCTCCGCCCGGCTCACCACGCGGTCGATGTACCTCCGCCACAAATCCTCATCTATGGCCTGCACATCGACCACCTCCTTCTCCATGACCCCAAGAGCCTGCATCTCCTTGAGCATGTAGGGGTCCTCACAAAGTGACCACAGGTGGTCTGCTTCGCTTAAGGCCGGCAGGCCCTCAAACTCCTCATCGAGGCCCTCATCGCAATCGAACTCCGAGACCACCTCTGTTGGCGTGTACGTTGGCGATGTCGGAGCGACTGTCGGTGACTCAAAGGCAGTCGGCGACTCGACCGGCTTGGCTGCCATGATCGCAACCGATGGCCGCAAAAATGCAAAAAAAAAACAAGGAAAATTGAGCCAGAAATGGCTCATGATTGACAAGACTCAGCAACCTGCTTTCAGGATCCTGCCCCCAAAAAAGTAGAGCGCATGGCCACGAAACTGCAACGATTGATCACAAGGAGCCCTGGCACACACCAAGCCCGCGGCACGTCCAAAATGATCTGCGTCTCAATGATAGGAAGAGCCGACATCGAAGAGGCAATGCCAGGTGTCGCTTGATGATGCTGCCTTTGTCTGCCAACATCTCCTCAAACTTGTTGTTGTCGTTCTTGTTGTTGTTGCACGCGATGCTGTTATTGTCATCGCAATGTTGCTGTTGCGTTGGTAGAAACTCAAAAACAGGCTCCTCCCCTTTTTCTTGAAGGAAGATTCGGGGCCCCTGCTTTTGTTTTGCACTGCCTGTGTCGGAGGGCGGGCGAGCGGCCAACATCAGTCAATGCAAAGCAGCGTACAACTCAAGCGAAGTCTAAAAAAGGCACCCCGAGTGATGTCCAGAAATCGACCCTTAGCTATCCACATGCAACAACGCTCAACGGATCCAAACATTTCTGATTCCTGGGATAATGCAAAATGATCGAGGAGTCTGTGAAAATATATGCCAAGATTCTCGAACACATTTGAGTCGAAGATTTGTGATTTGTTCCCCAAAAGCTGGGGTCTCCTCCAAAACGTCCATTGGCTTAAGGATATGTTTGATTTGTCCCTGGCGCAGGGAACCTATCACTACTGGACATGCTTTTATTTGTTCCAGGCGACTTTTCAGCAAATGGATGAAAACTATCTCAAACGTTAGGCTAGCGTGGGCGCGAACAAAAACACATATCTACACTTCTCAACGCGCATATGCCGGACTGCTTGATCGATGCCCGCATCGATTAACACCCAAAACGCCTGTCAACCCTGGCTAGCTACACAATGTATTATACGGCATGGCGCCGTGCCTTTAAAGTAACGACAAAACACAAACACTACAGTTTCAGACAGCATGTTATTTTTTGTTAAAGCCATGTGTGTCCACACACACCACGCACCACTGCGCGCGGCCATGGAAATACAACTAGTCTTTTCGCGCGCCACAGAGGTACACCCAGTCGTTTCTTTGTACAACTAGTCCTTGCGTGCGACCCACAGGTACAACTAGTCGTAACCACCATACACCCAGTCGTTCAAAGTAAGCGTTGGGGTTCTCCAGGGTATCCGGCGGACATGGCCGCAGCTATCCTTACTGCGGCGCCCGTCCCACTGGCTGCAAGGCATCGGAGCAAGATTACCATCTTGTCGGAGCCACGGCTCATCTCGCTCAGCACAATGGAGGGGGAGATAGGAAGCATCATATCCGCAAACACGGCAGTTGCCCATACATCCCAGAGCCTATCCATCTGCGCGAGATCAACGGCCACTCGGGAGTATCCTCCCTTTGGCAGATCCACGGATGAAGGAACAATCTTCTTGTTCCTAATCAGGCGCATTATCTTCCTGGCCTGCTCGAAGCACTCCAGTTCCTTTGGGATGATCGCCGCCCGTGCAATGGACATACTGAGAGTCCGCCGCGGGTCGCTCGAGCTTGATGCAGATACCGCAGATCGCCAGCCTCGCGTTCGGGAACACTCGCTGAGCCCCTCTCTTGACCCCGCAGAGCGGCTATGTCACCAAATAGGTTCTCAGTCTCGTCTGGCTGCGTGATGCAAATTCCGACCCTCGCCCACGTGTTCTGGCCATAGTGCGATAGAGGGCAGTAACCCAGGGACAGCTTCCTCGCTCGCAGTGGATGCAGTAACCTGCATACCACCCAGAATACTCCACAATGAAGATTGCGAAGTTCCGTGGATGAGGACCTTCTCGGTATCCGTCTGAGCCCTGTAGTTGATCGCCAAGTCAAAGAATGCCCACCCGTCATCAGGACCAATCTCAACATCAGTGTTACTTGCCGGGTTCTTGGGCGAGATCCGCAACACTTGAGGATGCTCCCATTCGATTGCGTCCCCCACGGAAGAGATCAAGCCTGACATCTGTCCCATCGCATGCAGGTATCCCCGCATTCCTGGCCTATCGGCCGTCACAAACTTCTGAACTGACTGCACCGACGACAATCGTCGCCCAACGATCTCCTCCCTGTTCCTTCCCGCTGTCAGCATCATTGCATCAACGACCACCTCCGGAGGGGTGAACAGCGCGTTGGGCCTCTCGTTCAACCAGGCCCGGATTGCTGTGAAGTGATGCTCTGCGTCACCAAAGTCATCCCCCTTGTACAGAGAATGCTCCCCAAACGCCACCTCAGCTTGGCCGGCAACCGTCTTGACCAAGGTCGTCTGGTTGTGAACCGCTTTCCACTCTGGCCAGGATTTTGGGTCTCCAACCCACATCCCGCCACATGGCTGAGCGGCCGGCTCCACGCTATTGTCCACAGGTAGAGCAGGCCTGCTGATCCCAACACTCTCCTCATACGAGAAGGCGTCGCCGTAGGGAAGCAGGAAGGCAGGATCCGTAGGAACCGCTGCGCACAAGATGGCCGCCAAGTGCACGGCGTTCATCTCCGTGACCTCCACCCCCCGGTGCTTCATTTCCGCCACTATCGCGGCGGTCCTGATCATCCGGTAGCGAGTCACCTTCTCGTGCTCCGTCCACGGAACGAGGGACTTGTCAAGCTTTTCCTTTCTGATGTGCGACACTCTGCCAATCAGTTCCTCGAACCTTCCCGCCGGATCATCCTGGATCAGTTGGTCGACCTTTTCCATATCTGGATCGATCGACGTGAACCTCGGCTCCTTCCCTTTGAATCCCTTAACCGTCCACCCGCGGTATCCCGCAAGCAGACAGGTAGCCACAGCCTTCGGCTTCTCCATGCTTAGCCCCATTTCCAAGTCCCAGGACGGCCGCGGAGGCGTCACCATGCAGCGCCCCATGCCCATCCCATCAGCGGCCGCCATGCGTCGGCAGGTTCGGGCCACCGGCCACGGAACCCAAGCTAGCAGCGCACGGGCGCGAGCGATCCAGGAACCCAGCCTATCGGCCAGAATTCCCTAGTTGCTCAGAAGGCTCAGCCTATCGGCCAGAGACCCTCTCCCTTAAAACGGAAACAGTGAACAATAAAAAACAATCAAACCTGTCAGTCAACTAGCGGAACAAATACCTCAGCGAAAAGCATATCTGCTTCATCCTTATACTCTGAGCTGTCTGCATCCTGAGTAGCCTGTCAATGTGGTGCGGTTACCCGCGTGTGAGCCAGCTTGATCAAGCCAGAAGCTACGCGGCAATGAAGTTATTCAACCACTTCCTAATGGCAAGTGATCGATCATTCGGAGTGAGAGTAACCCCTCCTCGCATCTTACAAGCGTTCCACATCGATATAAAAGACGTAGAAGAGAAACACCTGAAGATAACACCATGTCCCTTGAGGCCACACTGACATGCGCAAACAGACCTGCAGTCAAATCCATGCGTAACGGCAATCCCTTCGACCTCACCTTCCCTCAAAACATTACACTGGGGTCGGTAGAGAATGACGGGAGTGCATCCGCATGTCCGAGCGTCACAAGCAATATTGAACCTTTGCCTAACGGCATTCTCGGTCCTTTCCCTAAGCTTTCTGGCAGATCATTAGGTGCAAGCACAACGTAACAAAGGCTATCGCCTTCAATCCTACCAGTGCGAACAATGTGATTTCTGTATCCAGGAGCAACTTGAAGCGTGACTGACAACCCTGCAAAACTCACTAAACGCGAAATATTGGCTAACGCCTGATCCGCGACAACCTAGACACGACAATCACCTGGAAGAAGAACACGAAATGGCAAATCACCTTGAAAACCCCCTATCACCTTGAAAACCCCCTATCACCTTGATCACCCCTATCACCTTGATCACCCCCAGCCCATTTTTAGCTCTCTGAGCGCTGGCTCACCACCCCTTGAATGACATACCGCACGCAAATGCGAGGAAGTGCGCGAGACACAGCCCGGCCAAGGCTAAAATCATATATGTTTCGGCGAAAACGTGCGCACCCGAATAATATTGTGTTTCGACAATATCGTACGCATGAGCCCAAATAATAGGGAAAACATCTTCACAAAAACTGCTGCACAGAAACCGAGGCATAGTTTAGAGAAAAAAATCAAACCCGATATGCATTTGCGATCTTTTTGTTCGCGCGTTCGCAATCAGCCGTCAGCATATGCTCACAATCTATGTAGCGCAGCGCCTCGATCCTGCAGCATGCATATATATATGAGGATATCGAGCTGCTTTGATCATCCGGCGCCTGCATCGATGTGCGAGCTGGCTTCGATGCCGCCTGGCCAATGCAATCGATCGGGGACGGGCGTACACACAAATATTAGAACATGTATATATATATATATATATTAATATATGTATAGAACAGCATGCGACGACTGACGACCGATCGGCTGGGGCCCCGGCGCGTAGCGCCAGTGCAGCACGTACCTGGCACGAGCGAGTGGCATGGTATATATGTATATATATATGTGCACATGTTAATACTCTATATATATATATATAAAATCGATATTCGAGCGAGACGCAGCGATCGGCGCCTCATCGATCCGCGAGCCGAGCATGTGTCGCAGGTACCTGGCACGATCAGAGCGACCGTCGAATGAATGCACCCGGCCCTGGCCACTCGGGGTGGGCGCGCGCCTGGCCCGGCGCGAGCGAGCGGCGCGACGATCGAGCCGAGGCCCCGGCCCGACACGATATCCAGCATACCTGGCGCGAGCGAGCGGCGAACGACGATACGAAAACCATGCTGCAGCCCAGGCCGCGCGTGATCGGCCAGCCAGCCAGCCAGGATCTCGCCTGGCCGGTGCGCAAGAGCGCCGAGCGATCGATCGAAGCATATAGCGCGCCCCGGCCCGCGCGCGGCAGCCGGCGTGGCGCGATGCAGGGCGCCATCCCGACACCTGCAGCGAGGCATGCGACTCATGCAGCTTAAGCTGATGTGTGCC